TCATCCTTTCCAAATACAAAAACAATATTCATCCAAAAATACATAAATTTCAAACATATCAACACAGTGATTTAAAGCAATTTTAGTACAGTGATTTCAAATTCCAAATTTCAATTTCAACACAGTGATTTCAAATTTCAAATTTCAATTTCAATTTCAACACATATCAACACAGTGATTTCAAATTCCAAATTTCAATTTCAGCAATTTGAAGTAAAAAATTTTTAAAAAAACATTAGAAAATTAACACAGTGAAGTCAAAAAAAAAAAATACTTGATGATAGAAATGGATTGATCTTCTTCGTGTTCTTTGGATGATCTTCTTTGTGTTCATTAGGGTTTCAATCTTTGTGACCTTGTCTAACGTCGCCGATCCATTCTAAGAGTGAAAGAGAGCGAGAGCGAGAGAGAGAGAGAGAGAGAGAGAGAGAGAGAGGAGTGAGAGAAAAAGAGGGGTGAGGGTAGACGGCGGCGCTTGGGGGAGAGGGAGATTGAGAGTAAGAGGGAGAGGGAGAGGGATAGAGTGAGAGTCAGGGGAAGATAGAGGTTGTTGTTGGTCTTCGGCGATCGGGGGTCGACACCATCGCCGCTCGAACAAAGAGAGAAGAGAGATGATATCTAAGAGTGAGAGAGAGAGAGAGAGAGAGGGAAGACGAAATGGTGTGAGAGAGAGAGAGAGAGAGAGGAATAAGGTTGGACGATTCTATACAAATCATTTCAACTGTTGATGATTTGTACATGGACAATGTTGATGAAAGAAATAGAGCCGTTGTGCTCTGTTTGGCTAATAATTAAAAAAAAAAAACAAAAACAAAATTAAATACAAATTTGGTGGATTGAATTATATATATATATATATATTTTTCTAGTGGTATGAATTTTGGTAGAGTGAATTATATTTAATTTTTTTCTTCAATTTTTCAATTTTTTTTTTCATTTTTTATATTTGTTTAGTCAGGAATAATGTAAATATATAACTTTTTTAGAAACAGTTAAAAAAATGTCACTAAAGACAAAAAATAAACCAAAAAAAAAAAAAAAACTAAAAAATCTATATCTAAACAATACCTACAAACTTGAAGGGAAAGTTGGTTGAGATTTGCCAAAATAGCATGTGACCCTTGGAGCACCATTGCTATAATTTGGTAAAATAACACTATTTATTACCAAATTATAGCAATGACAATGCTATTTTAGCAAACACCATTAGAGATGCTCCTAGTAGATCTAAATATTTTAGAAGTTCACTAAAGATTAAAAAAATACAAAAACTCAAAATTATTTAAAAAATTGTTAACCAAACAGAGTGATTTAAATTTGTCAAACAGTGAGCTTCTAATGGCAAGTAAAATAAACAAATACTTATTTATTAAGATTTACAATATATTTTCAATCATAACTATTAAATATTGAATGTAACAATGATATTATGTAACAATATTATCATTTGATAAACAATCTTAATTTGTGGTAAGAACTACAACAGTGTTTGCTTAGTGCGAGACATGGATGATCCATTTAAGCGCATTTAAAGTTTTTTATTGACTCAATATTTTTTTTTTATCTAATGAGTGTAAATGTCTATATGATAGGTCCCTTAATTTTTTAATAGGAGCAAACTATATTAAATCAAATATTAATAATATAAAATAAATTTTTTTTACAGGTTTTTCAAACCTTGATGGGGCCTGGAACCATCAAGGTTCGGTTTGGTTTGGAAATAAGATTATGTTTTGTTTATAATTTAACTACACGCTTATATTAAATAATATGTTATCATTTTACAAACAAAAATTGTTTAAATGGTTATTTAAAACTAAATCTATCATTATACAATAACACACTTATAAAAGTAGAGTGTTAACAAGTTATAAATATATTTGAGATAGTAAACGATACTCAAATGTCTAAGATAAATTACAAATTATATAGATATCTAAATAGTTCGATTTGATTCGATTTCAAATTAAAATTATACCTATAAAATCACTAATTGAATCATATAACATGCTTATTTTAAAATGCATAATCAAATTGTATATTAAACCAACTAAATTAAACCGTAACAATTGATTTGATTAGGACCAATCTAGAGAGAATATTCTCCTAGAAAAGTTAGCATAAAATCAATTTGACCTTGTTTTGTTGACAAATTTAAGCACAAAACCGTCTCACATGAAAATTTAAACTACTTCAATCAACCAATAAAAGTCAAAGTTAATTAGGTTCTAGAATTTGTAAGTCTCTTGCCCTATCGTACCGTAAGCGAGGGTAGTAAATGCATGAATCGACTGATTGAGTTGTTTTAGTCGATCGGAAATTATGAATTTTATATGAATGTGATCAGTTTGAATATCAAGTAATCAATCATTAATTACATGTTATTAACCTGTGCTTTTAAAGCATATAATAGGCTTTAAGATAAGTTGTATTTTAAACTTAAAAGAATTTGAGAGACTCGTAAATCATGAGTCACGTTTTTGTTAATCATGAGTCACATTTTAATGATTTAAATTATTTATTTTGTAACATTGGTGGACACAAGGGGAATTGGGGGTGGGGGGAAGGGGTTGTGGCCCCTGCAAAATTTGCTAGAGCTTCACTAACCGTTGCTGTTAGGGATGTAATTGGTTTGATACAATCAAATATTTAGATAAATTTTTTCACCGAATCGATAATGTTGATTTTATTATTTTTAATACTGATACAAACCATTTCTTCCATTAAACCGCACCAAACTGAACCAATTAAAAGGATTTGGTTCGATGCGGTTTAATTGGTTTAGAATCTTTTCAACTTGAGTCATTTTAGTATAGTCACTAAATCTATATAAAAATATTGAATTGGTTATTTGTTCACCATTTTAAACATATTAAATCCATCCATTTAATAAATATTTTTCAATTGTTACATTAACAAAAATACAAAAAAATAAAAGTTAAAAAATGCTAACATTCAAAGAATAATGAGTTTAGATAATAAGAGTTTATAAAGATAATAAGGTTAATTAATATCATTATATTATTAGATTGTATATATATATATATTATAAATACAATATAGGTTGAGCAATCGGTTTCGGTTTAATTCAGTACACAAATTTGAACCAATACTGAATCAAAAATTAAAAAAAATTAAATTAAAAAATTACATAGACCGATTATTGTTAAAAAAGCCGATCAAATATAATCAATTCAATCTAGTTCAATTGATTTGGTCAATTATTTTAATTTTTCTTACCTTCCTAATTCCCGTGTTGATATTTTGTTTAGAAGTGGTAAAGGTGTGGCCTCCTCAAGGCTCGCCAACTAGGAAATCATAACACATTAATATCAAGAGTAATCATATAAAAATAAATTTTGTATAAAATTTTTATTTCATTTTTAATTAAAATTTATCAGTGTTTTTAAAATTTAAAAAATATTTTGACACATTATTTTATATATGTTTTTTTATGTGATCATTCAATTTATGAATCATTTTTTTTAACATTAATCATGTTTCTAGTAAATTTTTTGGTTACTTTATCGAACTCCCTAATTGATAAATGGGATTATAGTTAGTTTTTCTGTTTAAGTAATTTTTAGAAAAAAATATATATCTTTTTTTTTTTTATCGATATGAAAAAAGTACTCATATAATTATCTCTCTCTCTGTTTTTTTTTTTTGTTCAGTATATATATAATTAACATTATTATTTTCTTCATAGAAATTTTTTTGTTATCAATTACATATACATATAGTTTGGCATCCTCTAAGTGTAATGTAAATCCTGCGTCCGCACTGTTTGTAGGATCCTTAATTATATCATTTAAAAAAAAATAAGTTGATTTAATGATCATAACAATTTTTATTTTAACAGTTTTGTATTAAAAAAATAAACGATAAATATAATTTTTAAATAGACCATTCATATTTTAAGAGACAAACCTAATAAAATGAAAATGATACAACTATTGAATCGACTTAATTAATTAATTAATTTATTTATTTACTTTTTTATTTTTACTTTTATTTTTACGAAAGATTTTATAAAATGAACGGTTCAAATAATCAAAATAAAACTTGTGGTAGGCTCCATAGACCCCTTAAATTTTTTCAAGTCCAAGAGAAGCCTGACTCTTAAGGCTAAGTTTGATTAGGGTAAAAATGGTAGAAAGTGAAAGAAATGGAAAAAATACCACTAATAGTGGAAATAGTGGAAGTTATAAAAAAATTAATTTTCTTGTACAACTTATAATAGCAACAATGATTCATACTACTAAAAAAATACCATTAATAGCACTAATAAATTGAGAATACCAAAAAAAAAAAAAAGGCATAATTAGTGTTTCCTTAGTGCTCCCAACCATTTTTCTTAAAATAGTTAGTTATAATTAGAATTCCTATTTTGTTGTAAAATTTTTATTCTAATCAAATTCAAGAAAATATATTTCATTTTCCTTTTTTTTTTCTCTTAATTCACTCTCTATTATTTTCACTTTCCATTATTTATTTCTTTCTAATTAAACAGAGTCTAAAAGGTTATATATTTTACATAAAAGTAATATAATAGAATATGTACGATTTTTTAAAATAACTTTTATCTAAAGCACACTTTAACTAGACTCATAAAATATTTAATTTTCACTTTTTTAATGATTCTTAAAATTCAAACTTGGGAATTACTTGATGTTTATAAAATGGAAGAATTATATGAAGGACTAAAATGGAAGGATAATATATACCAAAGAATAATTCCATATGAAATTTTGAACACCTTAATAAGCAAAAGAATAATTATGAATACATGTATTTATTAAAATTTTAAAATATTTTATTATATTTTTTAAATATATTCAAATTATATATATTAAAATCAAAATCAAACAAGGTGAGTATCATGTTCCCATTCGGTTGTCCTCTTATTCAACCCCAAAACGTGCTTTTTTAGCATTATTATTGGTTTGTTTTGTCAATCAATTTGCTTTTGTCCTCTCGGATTGTGATCCTCTCTCTCTCTCTCTCATTTACAAACACAACACAACTCAACGACCAAACCAACCCAAACAAGAGGTCAAAAAAAACAACCCACACAGCCAACAACACAACTCTTTCAACTCTCTCTCTCTCTCTCTCTCCCCTCATCCATGGCCTCCAAGAATAAGAAGAGCAAAGCAACTACGACCCTCTCTTCCCTCTTTACCATGACTCAGTCTTAGCCTTCCACACTCAAAAACCCCATTCACCATTAACAACCCCCCCTTCTCTCTCTCTCTCTCTCTCTCTCTCTCTCCAAATCTTCATTCAAAGCTCTCTCTCTCTCTCTCTCCAAATCTTCATTCAAAACTCTCTCTCTCTCCCTGTCTCTCTGTGTGTGTGTAGAAAATAGCATTTTGAGATCTGGGTTGAGCTTCAAATGGGGAGCAAATGGAGGAAAGCGAAGCTGGCGCTTGGGTTGAACCTCTGCGTCTCTGTTCCCAGGACCCTTGACAGCGACGATTCGCCGCCTCCGTCGCAGATTCTCTCTGACGTCTCTCTGCTCCCGCCGTCGGAGTCTCCGGAAATAGCGGCGATGCCCACAACGCCCACTCCGTCGTCCCGCGGGTTGAGGCTGTCTAGAAGTATGAGCCGATCGTCTAAGGTTCGTTAACCTTCATTTCTGCTGTTTATAATTCTTGTTTGGTTGCCGAGAATCGTGCTCAAGGAAAAATAATTGCATAAAATTGTACTCCGAACTATGATTGCTCTTCTCATAAAGCTTGTAATTTATGATTGATCCGTTTGGTTGCTGAGAAAAACAGAGGAAAATTAATGGAAGCTTATTCTTTGTTTTTGTTTGCTTTACAGATAGAACCATACTAAATTAATTTAAGCTAGCTAGTTTGTATTTAGTTTCTTAACGGTGGAATATGAGCTTCAAAATTGTATTTTCTTGGTGCTTCTTCTGACATTTTCTCTGCAACCAAACGGGCTTTGCAGGCTTTCACAACTAATATTCTAAGTCATTTTTTCACATGAGTTTGAAGTTTCTCGATAATTATTTTTGGTATATTATTTCCTTAAAATATTTTCCTGCTATTCATTAATTTAAGATTTTGATTTCATTCTTTTCCTATTTGTTTCTGCTTAAATTGTTTCTTTTGTTTTTTTGTTTTTTTCTGTTTTGATGTTATCACTTGTTTGCTTCAAGTCATATACAGTATCTATATTTATGTGAAATTAGTGAGTTAGGTATTGTTTGTCTTGTTGTTTTCTACTCTTTGGGCTGTGACTAATGAACAAGTCCCTTTCAAGACCCTTATCATTTAGCCTTAATAGTTAAAGAAGACTACATAATTACCTTTCCTTTTCCACCTTTACTCACTGTGAAAAGTTGCTTTTTTTGTGGCCACATTTGTTGACTATTATTTGCAAAGCTTTCTTAGCTATAATCTTCATCCAGAAAGCAAGGTGTGAGTCTACATACATAAAATTAATACATGAAGTTAAACAATAGAAAAGTATTAAAAATCTACACATCAGTAGAATAATACCCATCTTTAGGCTGTATTTGAATCACACATCTGTGTTGAGAAAGGAAAAGGGAAGGGAAAAAGTAACAAAAGTAAAAGTTAAATTTTTGTCACTTTTCTCTTCCCATTTACTTTCGCTTCCCAAATCCCTACATAGCCTTAGTGAAAATAATGTGGGCTTCATTGTACTACGGTGTATATTCTTCATACGTGCTTTGTTTTGGTTTAATTTTGTGTACAAAGATTAATCAAAAGCAAAATAGGGAGGGGGAGCAAAATCCGACGGCAATTCTTGATTCCCCTTTCTTTGATAGATTACAAATTGCCTTAAATTTTGATTATTTATTTATTTTTTCATTGGATGCTTTCAAAACTTTTCTCCTTTAGATCACCTGCAATTTGCATGATTAGCCTTCAAAATCTCAATCTTGATTTTGCTTTATTTTGTAATATCCCTTCATATGTTGGAAATTGACAATTGATTTTCTTTTGGTTTCCGTACTTGATTTGTTTGTTTACTGTTCTTTCCTGTTATCAGTTTTTGTAAGCCTAAATTCCTAGCTGGGGCCATAAGCAAAGCACATATTCACCCTAATCCAAACAAATTACCACGGCAGTGTATTATTACCACTCAAACTAGGCTAAAGATGTGCAAAGTCTTGATTGGCTATCTCTTAAACTAACTTGTGGCATAAAAACAATTCTACTAGACGATACGATCAATAGTTTCCTTAGCACTTTCATGTATCCTTTTTTTTTAATTGTTTTTTTCTCTTTTTTATTTTTTTGGTATAGTATTTTGTTAACTGTTAGCTTCAGTGGTATGTCCCATGACGGAGAGGTGTAGGATTTAAGTCTCAGTTGGAATGTGTGAGCGTAATTGTGTGAGTTTACTTGGATGTTGACACACAGACACACAATTCTATCTTGTCTGCATTAATGGCCCATGGAATCAAGTAGCAAACAGACCAGCATGCTTTTGCATGGTGCCTAGTTTGACCTAAACATAATCACAGACGCATGGCATGACAAAAAATAGAGGTGCATAGAGGAAAAATAATTAGGAAATAAAGTATAGAATAGAAATTCAACTACAAGAAGTAAGAATAGTACAAAGTAAGTTAAAACATAGAAAAATATGAAAATAATTCAACTACACATAAAACATCATCCGCATAAACTCAAAACCATCTCTTTCTCCTGCATAAACCATCTTTTTCTCTCCTGCCTTGCATGGTGCACAAATTTTTATATCTGCTTGGTGGTGTATGGAAAATTTTCTCGTCATGCTTGCATTCTGGGCTATGTTATTAATAGTTTCCAATTTTGATGCACTCTTAAATTAAGTTCCAATTGGGACATCTTGACATGGGCGTCATTTCATATTCATGTAGATAATATTGTTCCTTTTCTTTGAAGCAGTTAGTTTTGTTATTTTTATTTTTTTATTTTTGCTTTTGTTTTTATTCCAATTCGTGCTTCTCACTGGCATTTGGTCTGTACTTTCAGAAGACTTGCTCAATATGTTTGGCCACAATGAAATGCGGAGATGGCCATGCAATATTCACTGCAGAATGTTCACATTCCTTCCATTTTCACTGTATTGTTTCAAATGTCGAGCATGGCAACCAAATTTGCCCCGTTTGCAGGGCAAAGTGGAAGGAAATTCCCTTGCAGAGTTCTGGTTTTGACCCTCTACCTCGGAGGACAAGGATCGCTCCTGTAGATGACCCCCAAAATAATGCTTTGATGACTGTAGTCCGCCGACTACCTCCCCCTCCCCCTCGTTCAAGTTCCCGTCGGCACATCATGCTACTATTTCAAGCTCCTGAGCCGGCTGTCTTTGATGATGATGAATCCTTAGATCAGCCTGAGGTTGTTGACATAAGCCCCTCAAATACAAACAGTGCAGATAATAATTTCCACAGGACATTAAAGATCGACACGTTCCCTGAAGTTCCAGCAGTCCCACCGTTAAATTCGTACGATGACTTCACCGTTCTCATCCATGTCAAAGCTCCTGTTTCAGTTTCTGACCAAAATTCCAACAGAAATCAAGCTAACTCACCACAAATTTCTCAAACTCCTCGTGCTCCTGTTGACCTCGTCACAGTACTTGACGTTAGCGGCAGCATGGCGGGGACCAAGCTTGCACTGCTAAAGCGAGCCATGGGGTTTGTGATACAGAATCTCGGCCCCAACGACAGGTTGTCAGTCATTGCTTTCTCTTCAACGGCCCGTCGCGTCTTCCCCCTCCATAGAATGTCTAACACAGGAAAACAACAAGCATTGCAAGCTGTTCACTCTTTAGCTGCAAATGGTGGGACGAACATCGCTGAAGGCTTGCGAAAGGGTGCCAAGGTAATGGAAGACCGAAAGGACAAGAACCCGGTTTCTAGTATAATACTGTTGTCCGATGGGCAGGATACATATACTATCAATGCTTCTAGTGGCGACCAGCGACAACCAAATTACCAGTTACTCCTTCCTTTGTCTATTTATGGAAATGACAGCGGAGCATTTAAGATCCCAGTGCATGCTTTTGGGATTGGTACAGATCATGATGCATCATCCATGCACTCCATTTCAGAGATTTCAGGAGGGACCTTCTCTTTCATTGAGACTGAAGCTGTGATTCAGGATGCATTTGCACAGTGCATTGGGGGGCTTCTGAGTGTCGTGGCAAAGGAGCTGCAAGTGTGTGTGGAGTGTCTCCACCCAACCATCCGTATAGGCTGTTTACAAGCAGGAAGCTACCCAAATCGTGTGGTGGCTGATCGACACATGGGTTTTATCGATGTTGGAGATTTGTATGCTGACGAGGAGAGGGATTTTCTTCTTTCAGTCAATGTTCCAGCAGACTTTTCAAGCAACGAAACATCGTTGTTAAAGGTGATATGCGTTTACTGCGATCCCATATCAAAAGAAATGATTACTGTGGAGAGCGAAGAAGTTAGGATTAAGAGACGTGAATTAGGTGGACAAGAGACGGTGTCAATAGAAGTGGACAGGCAACAGAACAGGCTCAAAGCAGCTGAAGCAATGGCACAAGCACGGATCGCAGCCGAGCAGGGAGACCTTGCTGGTGCGGTGTCGATCCTTGAGAGTTTTCGTAGGGCATTGTCAGACACTGTGTCCGCTAAATCCGGTGACAGGCTCTGCGTTGCATTGGATGCTGAGCTAAAGGAGATTCAGGAGAGGATGGTGAGCAGACATGTCTACGAGGCATCTGGAAGAGCTTATATTCTTTCTGGACTGAGCTCACACTCATGGCAGAGAGCAACAGCACGGGGAGACTCTACAGAGCGTTCGAGCCTTGTTCAGTCCTATCAAACACCGTCAATGACTGAGATGCTTGGTCGCTCTCAGGCTACATTGTTGGGCAGCCCATCGGCTCAGAGGCTTCTTCGACCAGTATTGTCGTTTGCATCACAACCCAACCCAAGGTAATGTTTTTGTGGTTGCTATGGAGAGAGATCTTCAAGACACAGTAATGCCTCTCTATTTTTTCAGATTTTTGTTTTTGTTTTTGGGTGGGGATAAATGGGAAAAGATAAGAAGAGCATTTTTCAATGTGAATATTGTTCCTGTCTTATATATGTAAAGGAATAAACTTGGTGCAGTGTGGAAGGGGAGAAGAGAAACACTGGGCAGGGCTTAAAACTTCTTGTTTTGGTTTTTTGACTTTTATTCTTATTGTTGGGGGTGATGTGCATAAGAAGAAATGGTTTAGTCTTAAAGAGAAGTGGATATAAAGTTTGTAATTGTGGGGATAGTTTGGGTGAACTCTTCTTCTAATATATAAGATACCTGCAATTTGATTCTTTAACAGTTTTCTTGATGTATTTTCTCCGCTTTACTAGACTTCCTCTTCTCTAATGCATGCAGTTCGGTGGTAGAATAGTTGCATTCTAAGCGATTTTGAGCCTTATTTTCATCATACACCCCTAGGTTAGATATATATAACTGTTTCTTGATGTTTTATATAAAAATAAAAAAAATAATAATAAATTAATAAATTAAGGCTGTATGTTGAGTGACCTGCAAAAAACTGATTAATCTCTTCCAATATGCTCCTTATTTTCATGGTTTTAAAAGTCACTGCAAAGGCATATATTCTGAGGATGTGTTTAGATCAAACTGAGTAGGCATTTGTGGATAAAAAAGAAAATGAGAGGGGAAAATGAAAAAATAGAAGCTAAATTTTTATACCATTTCCCTTTCCTATTCCCTTCTCTCTATAAATTGCTACTCAAACCTTTAATCCAAACACAGCCAAATGAAATTGAGAGCTAAAACCTTGTGTACTCTGTTTCAAATCAAATCTCTATTAGAGGGTCAAGCTCAGAAAAACTCATTGTGAGATAGAGAGTAGTTTGGGACAAGAGATGATGGATACACATAATCTGTGTACATATGAGTACAAATTCCACTTGTGGAAGAAAGAGTAATGCTTTTGTATCTTGGATTTATCAATGGAAATGAATACGAAGGCAAAAATTAATTTATCCTTGATCAATTGGTCTCATACAAAACTTTTCCCAAATGTATTTGATTACAGGATATACAATAAAAGCTGAAGTATAACAAAGTAATTGTTTACAGACCAAAAAATAGCCTAATTGGCAGCAAAGAATAACCAAACATCAACAAGGTGAAATTGGGAGACTGTGATGGTAAGACACACTTCTTGGACCCTTTCATAACCTTTTGTTCCCTGGTAGAATCAGTATGGCGATATGGAATTTGATGATGTTAATGGAAAATCTAAATTCTAAAATTTCTTCTGTGGTGCAGCGACTGGGAAAATGTGAAAGAATTCTATTCTAGCTCGACTTCTCTTCATTTCGCATCGGAATTCTCTTGTATTCATAATTGTTAATGTCAACATTCTATTGCAAGGCCTGTAACACATGGAACAATTTGCTAATAAGTAGCAATAGATATTGTTAGGTTGTTGTAATTGGCAATCTCGTTAGACAAAACTCTATTTAATTATATTTTTATACGCTCTATTGCATCTATATGTTATGAGAGTTTAGATGTGAATCCAACCTAAGTTGCACTTGAGTAAAAGAGTATGTGCTGACATTCCGTATTTTGTTTTGAGCATTCCTTGTTTGCCACTTCGCTGATTAAGTACGGGGATTGTACTGCTCGAATGGTCAAGTGAGCGGTCGTCGCGACTCTATTTAGTATGAAGTGCACCGTTTGCTCATTTTAGGGTTGAACCCTGTCTAGATTCTCAGAGAGGAGAGTAATCAAAGTATTTTATATTGGAAGGTATTTATATATGAGTTTCCTTGATATATAGAAGGTAATCAATTGATCAACGAACTACATATTTGTTGAGTTTATGCACACCCATAGATCAATTAACAAACAATCACACACACCAATGAGACACAAATATTTATGTGGTTTGGCCTAATGCCTACGTCCACGGGAGGAGAAATGAGAAATCACTAAATCGAGCAAAAATACAAAATGAAGAAGGAAGAGATTGTCACTCACTCAACTCAACTCTCACAGCTCTTATACACTTCTCACAACACTCTCACTTTCTTCACACTACAATCTCAGCTCACAACTCTTCCTATTTATATACAAACAGGAGAGCTAAAATTCAACACTTGCCTACAGACAAGCCACCAACAAAATTTATGGCAAGCCACCAACACAGCCGCCCTATAATAGGATAGCTTGGCTAAAAATCTCCACAAGATCTCTAGCCCAAATCTGCAGTCTCCATTCTTGATTTCCATAGCCAATTTCACATGGTGTGGATACTCAACAATATTGACAAACATCAAGGGTTGTTTTTATTCTTTCATTCACAAAAAAGAGAGAGGTGTTCATTGATAGATTCCGAGAAACTTGGGCCTGAAACTTTGGTGGATTTTAGAGTGACTCATCATCGTGGATTCGACATTGGCGTTATGAATTCAACATTGGCCAAAGCAATTCCGAGGTGTAAACGGTGGTGGAAGAGGCACATGGGGTTCGGTTTAATTTAGGAGTGGATTCGTTAGGTAATTGAGAGCTCTTGTGTGTAATTCTTATTTGTCTTCTTAGTGGATTATTTTGTAACCTTGGACTGTGGTTTTTTTATCACAATTGGAAGAGTCCAATTGTGATTTTTTTCACATTAAATCGTTGTGCCAATTTGTTGTTGATTGTTTGATTGAGATTTCTATTCATTGTTTAAAATTGAACCATAATTACAAATCATTATCTCGAGAATTTTTAGAATTTTCAGATATCAATAATGTTAGGTTTTATTTCTTGGCAAACCCGTTTGACAAAACTTCTTTGAGTTGTAATTTTATTCGCATTTTTATTTCAGTGAGACTTTGAGTGTTTAGATGCGAATCCAACCCGAATCAAGCCTTTCAGGGAATTTTGTGATGATAAAGCTTTCAAGATTGCCACTTCGCTGATTATGACGGGGATCGAGCTGCCCGGTCAGCTCGCGGGGGTCCAGGGGGCAGCGCCCCTTGGCGGGTCCGGGACAGCGCCACGGCGGGGTCGAGGGGCAGCGCCCCCGAAGCAAAATGCAAAAATGCATTCAAAGTTGCCTGTTCGATCATGTAATATTTTTCCAGTTTTTCCAGTTTTTGCCTGTCTGCTCGAGCGGGGAAACGGGTGCTCGAGCGGGGTTTGCGAGCTCACAGTATCTCTGTTATGGCTGAAAAAGTACTGGATGGTGTGATTCGGCGCTCGAGCGTCCAAACCGCCGCTCGAGCGTGGAAAGCGTGGAGCTTGTATGAAATCACAGAATTTGAAGTCTCCGCTCGAGCGGACCGCGCGATCCCAGATTTCCAGATTTGATTAAAGAGTTGGTTTTCTTCTGAAATTAGGATTACTTTGGTTCTCTATAAATACTTGGTTTTCTCCCAAAACTAAGGGATTGATTGAACTTCTCCAGATCTTATTTTTGGATCTTAAGGTTTATATCTGGAGAGATTTTGTTAGTTTTCTTTGATGTTTTTATTGAGTATTCAACTCATGATCTAAAGAGAGTACATCAAAGGTTTGTTTGTTATACACAAAAGAGAGAGTTATTCTTCAGTTGTGGATTCTGAAGAATTCGAGCCTGAAGCTTTGGTGGAATCCGGAGTGGCTCATCAGAAAGACAATTCCGGGGTGAAGATGGGGTTGGAAGAGGCACATAAAGGTTGGTTCAATTAGGCGTTGTGGATTCGCTAGGTAATTGAGAGTATACCTGTGTAATTCCTTTAAATCTTCTTAGTGGATTGTTCTTGTGGCTGTTGCCCGTGGTTTTTTGATCACAGTTGGAGGTGTCCAATTGTGGTTTTTTCCACGTTAAAATTGTTGTGTCTCTTTGTCTTGATTGTTTGATTGGGATTGTTATATTCTGCTTAAAATTGATACATAATCACAAATCAACATCTGGGGGATTTCTAGTTTTTTCAAATAATATTCATTTAAGATACATAAGTTATTTTCCATACCTCAAGCTCCTCCGCTAGTGATATCTTCTTCGGGTTTATATGCTTCCACATGTCATGTGCTCAAAAGTGCTTTTCTTGTCTCAATGATCTCCCACTCCTGATCATCTTTGACCTTGGCAATATCCTTGCTTCGCAACAATATTTTGCCAAATTTAAGAGAAGAAGACGAAGAAGAGGAAGGAGTAGATGACGATGATCATAATGACCGTCTTGATGATGACAATAATACCAAAATGATTCGGAAAAGCTATAGGTGATGAAAAAAATTAATAACTAAAACATTCTTAAAATTCCAGAAAAGTAATTTACAGTAATGGATAGCAAGTATATCATCTTAATGAATGCACAAGGCATGAGCAATTTCAAAAGGAAAACAAAGTAGCTGCAGATTTATTTTCATCCTTCCTTTTGCCATACAATCTCTTGTGGGGATTGGACTAGTGGATTGAACTCTCACACCAACGTTTGAGCCCTGGTTCTTGAGATACTTCAATGTCTGGTTTATCTTAGCCTTTGCATACCTCGGTGTAACATCTTTTGAATCAGGGAGAGAAATCTTCATTGCAATGTTCTATCTATGCACCCCTAAAAATAGCCAACTTCCTAAACGAGACCAAAAAAAAAAAAAAAAAACCTGCTTCCTATTTCTATCATGCAAGGTTTGGCAGCATAGAAAATCTATATGACATCAAATTCTGACAATTTCACAAGAATTTGATGAAGATGCCCACAAGTGTATTCTAATTCAACTTATACAAAGTCACGGTGAAAATGGGCGGATTCATTATGGATTAGCATATAAAATTGACTATGAAAAACAATAAAAGTTCCATTGTTGTAACGCCTACAGAAGGACTGTCTTTAATTAAGAGTATAACACCATGCATACTCATAGTTCCACATCTAAACAATACCTATACATGTTTTAGACCCAAGTCACCCATTTTTCAGCTCAAATCATCTAACAATTAAACTACAGAAATATACCCACAAAGTGATTGATTTCACATAGATGGAAACATTATCTCCACATCACACTCCCACATGAAAGAAAATACATGCTACAATAAAACCAATCTAATCACATACATGTATAAGTAACCACACCTTTATGCTGTAAGTAGGGTAGGAATTTGACATGCGACTCGTTAACACTATTCGTATTGTACATTTAATTAAAAGATTAGGGTTAGTCATTTTTTTTTATATGAACACGAATATGATAACTAAAAAATACAAATATTAAATGGGTTGTGTTAGGGCTATACATGCGTAATCCGAATACGACTCTTGCAAAAATCCTTGTTGATATGAACCACCCACTAATGCAACTTGAATCTAGTATTAAATGTTT